AGCGGCTGCCATTTGGCTATCGTTAATGAGATCATGAAACAAATGCACATACATATTTGTGACATGATGTATCTTGTGTGTGTGAAGTTTGAACTCGATCAATCCAAGCATGTCACAGATACGGATCCAGAACTGAATTCTTTAAAACAAAATGGCCGCCAGTCGGCCATTTCGAACCCGATCCAAAAAAAAAAATGACGTGCATCAAGGTCCTATTATGTTTAATGTATGTACCAAATTTGAACAAAATCCGTCCATGCATAACTGAGATCCGGGTCCGGAATGGTGAAAATGTGCGATTTTGATGCATTTTCGGCCTTAAAATGGCCGCTATTCGGCTATCGTTAATCGGATCATGAAAAAAATGCATGTGCATATGTCCCATATAATGTGTGATGTATGAGTGAAGTTTGAACTTAATCGGTCCATGCATGTTCGAGATACAGGTGATCACGGACGCACGGACGCACGGACGGACGGACGCACGGACGCACACAGGGCAAAACATAAGTCCCCGTTTTCGGACTGCGTCCGAACGGGGACTAAAAATGTGTTTTACAAAGTTTTGTAGAACATGGAAAATTTTTCATTTACAAATTTAGCAAATCTATTCATAATAAAACTAAAACTTGAGCTTAATAGTTTTTCAAATTTGTCTTGTTTTGTCAGAATGCTCTCATCATATAGCGAAATTGTATCACAGAATCGTGAATGTGCATCCGATATGCCTTGATGGTTACATTCTATTAAAGCATGTACTTCATTTCCACCATTACAATGGATACAATTACTTGCCTCTAGGGTAATTCCTAGATACCTCAGTCTTACTATTGGTAGAACATGTGCTGATATTCTGAATTTTGTAATGCTTGTTCTGCGATTGATATTCTTCACTTGTTCTAAATATGGTTCAAATTCATATGTTGTTTTAAATTTGTTTTATGTGCATAGTTTATTATTGTGTAATTTAGTTTTCTAAATAGACCATAGCTATATATTGTCAATATATCATGTATTTTATTTTTGTTTTGATCCAGGAAGCAGCATCACAACTGTCAGTAATATCTTGTAGCTAGTTGACAAAAGAAGTTCATGTGTTACCTTTGAGTTTTGACTTTCTGAGATAAAAGCACAGTGTACTGCAGGGGTTTCACAAATACATTTAATAGCAGGCCATCATCCTGTAACAACAGGCCAAAAATAAAATAAAAAGGCTCTCAGCATTGCGAAGCGCTGCAGCGAGACCGTCGTAGCCTTACAGCAGGCCATTATGTCGGCGGCCGGCTCTTAACTAAACCCCTGCACAGTACTAAGTGACTACAGTCTCTATTGATTATTCTGTTTTTATAATTTAGAATCTGTGAACAAATATGTAATAATATAACATATAACTGAAATAACAGAATTTGCTACGACATTGGAACTAACCTGGTCCAACAATGAGTTGACCTCCTAATTGTTTAATATCACCATGGTAATCACCATGTAACATAGCTCGCCAAGTGCTTTTTATCAGTCCTCCAAATATAGACGACTTGACATGGGGACTATGTATGCTACCTGCAAAGTACAGAAAAATACAAAAAAGGCATTATACAATTCATGCAAATACTAAGTGAGCTATATTCAGTGAATTACAATTAAAGGCACAGGTAGGGTAAGTCATTTGGTAAGTCGTATTGAATGGGCGAATGGTACATTAGGAGACGTTGTACACGCATGTCAAGTTGTTTGGTATGTCATGTGACATGGTACTGCACTGTTATTAAGCCAGGGAAAGAAGTAGGCCTCAGAACTATATTTAAGCAGTGATATATGAGGATACAATATTATATACTGATTGAGTGGAAAAGGGCAAATAACACATGATATGTACATGTACATTCCTCTTCATAACAATCACTAAAATAATAATTTTTCTATTCAAACAGTTTTCTAGAAAATTTCAAGAGCTTACATAACAACAGAGATTGCTGACATGATGCCAAAACAAAATTTTTAACCAGGAACTTGAACATAAACTCCCTATTCTAGCTCAATCAATGTGGTTTGGGTTGAAATAACAAATCAATCAAACTCTTCACCAATGCACTATAGCTCTATGTAGCAAGGCTCACTGGGAACAGCAAAATTCTCAGAGTTTCACACATCCTGAAATTTGTGTTAATTTTGGGAGCTTTTTGTTGAAATAAATTTAAAGTTTTACATTATTGTGCATTAATGTAATTGCATTATGACATAAAAACCTCTAATTCTGGTAGTGATGATTCATATCATGTCATAATGTCATGTGAGTTGTTAAGACAGGTGAGTGATACCATAATGTTGGAAATCACAACTTTACCCTGTAGTAGCAGATCACTAAAACTAAACCGCGTATGTCTTACCTTGAACTGAAGAATGGTTCTTTAACTTCAATGCACTAAAAATGTTTTTTTCTTGATCTACATAAAGTTCATATGGAAAACCAGTTTCATTCTTGAATGCCTGAAAAGAAGAAATGTCAGCATTTTGGGATACTTATGGAATCAGTAGTTGGTGTATTTGATTCATGAAATAGCATAAATCTACCGGGTAGTATCCATATTCCATGAAGGGTGATCCCTGAATGTCTGGGTCTCAACATTCATTTTGGGAATTTACTTTGTTGGTCAACAAAACCTCTCAAAAAAGGTAACATAGGTAACATGTAAAGCATGTAAACATGTAAATGCCCGTTACATTATTACCAGTATTGTGACTTGGTATTATTCAACATTTTAATACTGGTAATGTGTACATACATAGTGTTGAATAATGTTAATATTACACGCATGAGTATTTTAAAATGGCACTTAAATTAATCAGATCAGAAGTAATAAAAAAAGACTGTACCTTGATATATTTCCATTCACTACAACCAATCACAACCAGACGTACATTTGCATCCTAATAATAAATTAGTATTATGAAAACATTAGTTGTGTTTTCACTGGCGAACTTGATCCGGATCGAAACCGAGTTAATCTTCAATGTTTGTATAAGGATTAACAACAATGCGTTCATACTAGTACTGGACCCAGTCGACATATGCCTAAATCATGCCCTCATTCGATGGAGTGGTGACAGTTTTTAATCAAAATGGCCGGCGGCATGTCTGATCATTGGAACGGTCCAGCTGTCTTGTATTTTAATGTTGTTAAGTTTGCCAAAATTTTGATATCTGTCCAAACCTTTCTTGGTGTAGAAGTCTCTCCGGACGATACACTTGCCGCCATTTTTTGAGTTCGAATGAAAGGAATATGCAAACCTCTCTCTGGTTCGCCACTGGGGGCTGTTTCGGTACCACTAAAATGCGTTCCGACACACAAAAGTGGGCACGTGCTGAGTTAGATCTGGGCTTTCTAAGCGGACCGAGATACGCAAAAACTCAGCACGTGCCAACTCGATCCCGACTGTTAGATTTCAGCACATCTCGAGGTTTAGCTCCATCTCAATCCGGATCGAGTTCTCCAGTGAGAACACAGCTATTATCAGCCAATAACAGAGAAACCTTAATTAACATATGTTTTACAACAGGTTTCAGCATATGAAAATTAAGAGACCACATTTTTGGAAATTTAATTCCTACATCTACACTCAGAGAAGTCAAAACAAAACCCAAAGTATTCCAGTAGTACTAGTATTAAAAACATTTTAAGGTCCCATAGCAACCGTGTGTAAGGATGGCATCATCTACATGTACTAAGACTGTTGCCATTGTTTTCTTGTTGTTGCATTGATGTTAAAATACATGTATAAAGAATGCTATAACTCTGAGCAATCACCACGGCGATCCAACCACGAAGCTAATTATTAGGCAACAAGTCATTGTTAATGACACAGTCCCCATCCAAAATTTTGAGATCTGACATATCAATTTGATGCTGATGAAGTCATTGAGATTAGATTGAAACCATTAATAGGAGATGGATTTGTAAACAATTATGATTTAGTGCTTTTACATGAGAATTGGACATTGTTCAGTCATATTGAATCAAATTACAAAAATAATGTTCATGTTGATGTATCTATTGGTATACTGTCTTTGTACAAAATTTAAACAGAAATGTTCATTGCATTCATGGGAGAGTAGGCATGGGTATCATGAAAAAAAATGGCCACCAGTCAGCCATATTAGTTTGAATCACAGAAAAAATATGACATGCAACTATAACCCAATATGTATGATAATCATACCAACTTTGATCCAAATTGGCCTAGTCATCTCTGAGAAACAGCTCTGGACATGTAAAAATGACGATTTATAGTGCTTTTACATATAAATTGGGTGTCAGTCAGCCATATTGAATTGAATCACAAAAATAATGTTGGCGCGCATGTATCCATTGGTATACTATCTTTGTACAAAATTTAAACAGAAATGTTTATTGCATTCAAGAGAAAGTAGCATGGGTACCATGAAAAACAAAATGGCAGTCAGTCAGCCATATTTGTTCGAATCATGAAAAAAATATAACGTGCACCTATAACCCCATATGTATGATTAACATATCAACTTTGATCTAAATTGGCCTAGTTATCTTTGAGAAACAGCTCCAGACATGTAAAAAATGACGATATAACGTTTTTACAGGAAATTTGGGCGTCGCTCAGCCGTATTGAATCGAATCACAAAAATAATGATGGTGTAGTTGTATCTCTTGGTATACTATCTTTGTACAAAATTTAAACAGAAACGTTCATGGCATTCAAGAGAAAGTAGCATGGGTACCATGAAAAACAAAATGGCTGCCAGTCAGCCATATTTGTTTGAATCACGAAAAAAGTATGACATGCACCTATGACCAAATATGTATGATCATACCATACCCAATTTGATCCAAATCGGCCCAGTCATCTCTGAGAAACAGCTCCGGACATGTAAAAATGACGATTTAGTGCCTTTACATGAAATTTGGGTGTCGGCCAGCCATATTGAATTGAATCACAAACATAATGTTGGTGCGCATGTACCCCTTAGTATACTATCTTTGTACAAAATTTAAACAGAAACGTTCATTGTATTCAAGATAAGGTAGCATGGGTACCATGAAAAACAAAATGACGTGCACCTACAATATGTATGATCATCATACCAACTTTGATCCAAATTGGCCCAGTCATCTCTGAGAAACTGCTGCAGACACGTTTAGGTATCAGAAATAGCAAATTTTACATCCAAAATGACTGCTAGTCAGTGAAAAGTAACTTGACGCACATATGTAAGACATTATGTATTGTCTTCATGTAAAGTTTGAATAAAATTCGTTAATGGGTGTCCGAGATATAGCTCCGGACGTACGGGCAGACAGAACGAACCCAAATTAAGGTAGAGATGCAGTTTACCTGACAGGTATTTTAATTAGTTAATTAGGAAACTAAGATGATCTCCCTTTTCCACAAAACTATATATTTTCGGAAAGCTTATTGTATGAATTTTAAAATGTTAGTATTTTTTTTTTTAGGGACCCTGTAGTTTGAAATATGCACAAAAATGTGCTTTTTTGGTCAAAAGTGATTTTAAAAAAATTAGCTTCTAAACCATGCTTCTGTTTCCTGTAAAAATTGGTTTATGGGTACATCTGTTTACCATGAAGAAAGTGCCGTCTTGAAAACTGTCAGTTTTCCAAGGCAGCAGCTCAAATTTCACTACTTCAAGTTTATGCATAAATTAACACCCAGGCTAGTTGTCTGTACGATTGTTGTAACACTGTGCAACCAAAAACAATGCCCCGATGGCGTTTTGAAGATAAACACATTGTCAATCCTTTGTGAAAATTTCAAAACAAAAGGTCAAAGCGTCTAGGAGCTATTTTTCTTTAAAGTTCTGGGATGTGCACTAAAAAGAAGCTGAGATAATTGCTAATTTGCATAACAATTCACTCAGTAAGAAGTTTGCTAATGCTCATAATTAAAATGGCTGTAACAGTTCCAAATTTAAATGTATTATCGTTTTGTTAAAAGTTAAATATAGTGCATAATATGGAGATCTCGTCATTTCTTTTTTTCACCATGTTTCTTTTTAATGATTCGTGTAAAGCCTTGCTAAACCTTGCTAAGCATTCAAAAGAGAGAATGTTTGCACCTGTTATCTATATTTTAAAATCGTTTTTTGAGTATGTTCCACTCACTATTTACAATTCTACAAAATTTTAACAGTCTATAGCCAAGACTGTTTGGATAATGAAAAAGCAAAAAAAAAAAAAAAAAACTCCCAAGTGCCCACAAACCTGCATCTCTACCTTAATAGTCCTCGTTTTCGGACTTTGTTCGAACAGGGACTAACAATACAAATCACAGCTGACAGGCAGGTTTTTATTAGAACCCCACATGATAGTTTAAAACCCAAAATACCTTGCCATTCACAATAGTTAATGTTCACATTATGTCATCACACAAGATATAATCCAATATAACATCTTAAACCGACAGAATACAAACATTACTAAAATTATAGCCAAGATATGGTGAGTATCACCTTTCTGTACACCATCATACTTAATATTTGCTCAGGAGTACACCATACTACGGTAACCATAATAATAAATTTGAATAAATCAAAACATTCCTATTTTGAATTTGGCTTATACCTTAAATATAAATCAAAGAAAGCTTGGAAAGAACTCTCGTTTCATTGAAATGGAATAATTAGTACTTTAGATATCAGTGTGAAAGCTGAAAATTGGTTAATTATGCAAATTAGGTAATTAATATGTACAGATTTTAACCCACAATTAACCAGGTTCGTCTATTGTCCTACAGTATCCCATGTACAAAGTTTCATTGAAATGTGATGATTAGTATTTGAGATATCAGTGTGAAAGTTGAAAAATGGTTAATTATGCAAATTAATTGATTAATAAGCATAAATATTTACCAAAAAACTAATTGGATCTCTGCATAGTCCTGGATTCATTGAAATGTGATGATTAGTACTCAAGATATCAGTGGGAAAGCTGAAAATTAATTAATTATGCAAATTAGGTAATTAATATGTACTGATATTACCCCAAAAACTATCAGCTCTGTGCAGTGTCCTATGACATCTATGTACCAAGTTTCATTGGAATGTGATGAATTAATACTTGAGATATCAGTAGAAAAGCCGAAAATTTACCAACCATTATGCAAATTAGGTAATTATATTTACAGATTTTTACCCAAAACTGATCAAAACCTAGCATTTGTTCAGAGCAACTATGTACAAAGTGTTATCAAAATCCTATGAGTGGTTCTTTAGATATCAGTGGAACAGTCATGGAACAGCTAAAAATTAGCTAATTATCATGCAAATTAGGTAATTAATATGCATAGATTTTGACCAAAACCTAATCAAATCTGCACATTGGCCCAGACCATCTATGTATAAAGTTTCATCAAAACCCGATGTGTGGTTCATGGACACACATACACACATACACATACAGACATACTAACTGCAAAGACTCCCATTGTGTGCTTCACACACAGGAATTAAAAATACATGTACTTACCCAGAGGTAGTTTGGTGGAATTTTGGCTAAATCTGTAAAATGTATCATAAATGTACTGTATTTACTATGGTTACAAACAAACAAAAGTACTACAAAATATTAAATAATTGCTAGACTATAAGCAGAGAGAATAGCTCCAAATACATCCAAGATGCATGTTACAACATTCAGCATTCATATAGACATGCATATTTTAATTTTCCAATAGTGTGACTCCACTAGACTGGATTAATGACAAACATTAATACAAGAAATATTGTGCAAATATACAGTAAATAAGTATATAACTTACCTTCTACATACTCTTTAGCAGTGTAACATAGAAAATTCTACAAATAAATAACAACAAACATTGTTATTGTTAATGTATAAAGTAGTAAACTGTAATGCTAACATTAAGTTCTGTTTAAAAGTTACCTTTAATGCACCTCTATTTGAAATTAGCTTTTAAATGGAGAAAAAACACAACGGCAAAATACTTTATTTTCGCAGAAGGATGCATAAGTGAAAATAAAAACCAGCAAATACACCTTTTTTTCTAGATTTTACATTCAACTCATCAAGAATCCATACAATTAAATTTCATAAAAAAATGTCTTTTCAGCGAAAATTTATTCCAGCTAAAATATTGTACAGTATTATGAAGCATAACAATTCTGCACTAAATAAATATTTATAAGGAAAAGAAAAAAAGATTTTTAAAACTAATCAGTGCATTTAGAAGGGAAAGGTAATAAAATAATTTATGAACAACATTATAGCTGTATATACTAGGCTGGAACATAACAAATTTTGAACAATACAATATTTTGCTGGAAGTTCTTTAAATTGTGATCCGGGAATAGAAAGTCCCAACTGACATTGTTTAACCTTCTCATAAACTGTGTTCTCCCATAGACCCTCTACTGGAGGGTCTATGGTTCTCCCCAGGAAAATAGAGTGTCACAGATAAGTTGTGTTATGCTATTATACTAGTATAAAGTGAGCCCTATTGTTTTTGCCCATAGTACAGTTTTCTGAGATTTTTCGGCCTTTGTTTTCACCTGTGATGGTTGCAGTGACAGTGAAAATGTCTAGAGCTACAATAGGACAGTATTACAGTAGCTGATAGTGAAAACAGAGGTATCTCCCTACCATTTTTTCTTGGAACATTCCTTGGAAAATTCTTAGTAGTGTTTGTTACGATGTTCGATTCAATCATTGGAAATTTGCAGTTTGAAAAACCAACTATAATTGAAATCATATTGTACACCTGTAATCAAAGACTGATTAATTGTTTTTAAGTGTAGAATGCTCAAAGCATAAAAAAATTCACCATATTTATATTTCACGCAGACCCTCTGAATGAAAAGGGTTTTAACAGAGGAATTATCACCCACAAAATCAAGCTTCCATAGAACACCATCAGCAATGTGATTCAATCTCATTAAAATAAAATTCTAGTTTGGGCTTAAATATTCTTTTTATTAAATATGTGTTTAATTATTTATTTTTATTACATTTGTATACATTTACTTTACTTTATTTTATTTTAATTTATTATTTAATTGCTGGCAGTTTTTTAAGAGCTTTGATAATGCTATTTCTGAAAGTAAATGATTTTTACCACTCAACACCCCTTGTAAAAATGAGCTGTTTGGATTGAAATTGCCAAAGTAAAAAAAAAAAAAAAACTTTGAAAGGATTTTGCAATGTTCCAAAAAAAGTGATAGGTAGATAGCGTTTTTTATAATCAGTTTATTTCTGTGCTTATTGTAAAGAGCAAAGTAATGTTGACAGGAACAGTGTACAAACTTCACAAAATCTGAACATACATGTAAAATAATCATGCTATGTATTTAAATTAGTGTAAAAATTAAATTTTACGCTTGTCACTAATAGGTGTTATTCAACATGTACAACACATGCTGTCTTGATTACTGCATGGAGCTTCATGATTACTGAAAAACTTTAAATGAAAAACTGGTCAAACAACTACATCAGTTATCATGCTGAGGTTTTAAAACCATTACTAGGGTATTTCTTTACCCGTTTATTGGACTCCTTGAGACACCTGTTTTTTTCTTTGAAATAGCAATTCTCCAAATCATCTAATATTCACCATCGCACTAAACCATGGAGGTAAAAAAGACTAAACATTACTAAACAAATGCGATTTTCATGCGTGAAGCTATACCAACCTTAGGTAAACACAAGCCACGGTAAACACGTACGAAAGTGTGTAAACACAACACTGTCAACGTCACAGAAACGATGAAAGAGAAAGACTGTGTGTGCAGTAGAGTACTTACTCGAATAAATACAATAATCACTTTTTGGTTTCTATATAAGTGATCGAGTGGGATCATGATACCATTACTATCCCACACTGGCATTTTTGCTATGATTTCATAATCGATATGTGGCGTTGACGGTTCTGGTGCTGGAACGTACATATCCACCGATGTTAAGCCCTCACTTGGTGTTGCACCTCTGTCGATAGTCGCCATAGTAGAAAAGCTGACCTTTCACCTGAACGGTCGGACGAAATTTCGTGTTACCATAGCAAACACAAACACTTTTTTTTGTTTCACATAATTGACAGGCGCAATACTATCGGTGATTTTTATGACAATCAAAGCATGATGTGCACGTTTTGGATTTGTGGGATGTCTCAACTCGAGTTAAAAACGCGCAAGCAATCTCACGTGACCACGGGGTTAGGTCAGGGTACGGGTGAAAGGTCACGCGTGCGTTCGCGATATCAACATGGCTGAGAAGCATGGTGCTACCGATTTGAGTTCGTTGGCGAAGGCTTTGGACCAAGAAATCGAAGACCATATAGACAGTCTCGAGAAGAAACCATATACGGAAGGGTTTTCTGAAGAAAACTGGGAAAAGGTTTGTTTGTATGCAACTATGCACTACTTCAGCTGTGAAATGTCAGGTGAAGCAGAGAGCTCCCTGGGGGGGGGGGGGGGCTGGAAAGTTTTGGAACAGTACTTTCCGAAACAAAAAAGTCTCGAATAGTGGACAGATATGTTCAATTACACATGAGACAAATGAATATAACATCATATAACATGTGAAAACAATGTAATCTACGGCACTTTCCACCCCGAGTATTTCAAATGGTAAACCCTTTGTACGGGATGTTCCTTGACGGTCACAGTGATTAAATCTGCAGCAAGACACGTGAAACTTGGATGAACAAGTCCTAAATGCCAGAGGTCACTGACCATGAAGTGTGAACAATCCCGAGTGACAAGACATATTTGTACTTTGAAATGCCATAGGTCATCTCGGAGCTACGGTTGGGGAGAGTAGGGGAGGATGTGTGCAGCTAAATTAAAACTCAATTTAGCGTCACTATAAGATAGGTGATGTATTCATGGGTATTTACAGGTTATAATATAAGGTTATT